GGTAAATTATAGTGAAAACAGAAGCACTATTTCGCATCTCTTTGGTGACAGCAATCCTGATCCCAGGCGAAGCTGCCACGCTTCAGAGTGTGAACATGCATGTTGGGTATATTAAGACCACGGGAGGAAGCAGCCTCCTGGCCCTGACCCCAATGGATGAAATACGCTCCTGACACTGCTCCCAAGGCTGAGAGCACAACATGCAACACGAACCCTTCTAGACCCGCTGCAGAACAGCCATTAACGCCAATCACTGCACTATCAATATATACAGAAAAGGAGATTAGTTTTCTCATTAGACACTGTAACACGGCATCTCTATAATGGGAACCTCATTGCCCACTGGCTTGTGTTTACCAGGAAATAATGGTGCTTATCAGAAGAGACCACTTTCTCCTTAACAGGAAAAGCAAATGATTTAAGCTGTGTTTGCTTTATAGTTCATTCCCTTCCCTCTGTCCTTCGCACATTTAAAGGCCCATTATCTTCCCCTTGATGCAAGGGGGTTATGCCTGTAGCTACCATTAATGGTAATGAAAATGGGTCCTGTTAATCTCCCTGTGCTGATAGTAAGATAATAGCCTACTTAATAAGAGCGAAGCTCAGACTAGGAGTTGCACTGAAGTGAGCAGAATATTGTCGCTGTGGGATTCATATGTAAACGCCAAAGCCTTGCTCTGGGTCTCAGTTGATGACTAAAAAGATATTAGAACAAATGCGCTCCCTTGGTGTACGCCGCCAAGCCCTGTAGAGCAGCGCCGGGTCCCCTTTCCAGCCCTTTCACCCCATCGGGATGCATCCCTAGGGAACGATGGATGAGTGTTGTCCCTGGAATAGGCTGTGGTTTCAGACCAGCGCCCAACCGGCTTGCTCAGAGTCAAAGCAGCCCATGGCCTCGGCTGCAAACCCCGTCAGCTCATGGGAAGAACGGACTGGAAAAGACCCCGTAATTTGATGTAATTCACCTTTATGGGCAACCTTCGTTCAGAGCTAGAACAGTGATTTTACAATGGCCTGCGGGAACAGGCCAAGGGGAACGGCTTGAACCTGCCAGAGGGGAGACTGAGATGAGCTCTGAGGCAGAAGCTGTTCCCTGTGAGGGTGCTGAGGCGCTGGCACAGGGTGCCCAGAGAAGCTGTGGCTGCCCCATCCCTGGCAGTGTTCAAGGCCAGGTTGGACACAGGGGCTCGGAGCAAGCTGCTCCAGTGGAAGGGGTCCGGGCCGGGCCGGGCCGCAGGGGGTTAACCCCGGCACCCACAATCCCCCGCAGCCCTGCAACGTCGCCGGCCGCGGCTGCGCCGTGCGTGAGGCGCGGGGCGGAACCGGGACCGGAGCCGGCGGACGGCGCCGCGTCAGGAGCGAGGGTGCGTTCCCGGGGCCCCGCCGCTCCCTTGGGGTGGCTCCGGGGCCGGTGTCCTCCGCGCCAGCCTCGCCTCAGCGCCGGGCCCCCGCGGGCTGGCACACGGGACGGGCCCCGGGGGGGGAGGCGGGAGCTGCCGGTGCCTGGCTGGCGGGGCGGGGCGAGGCGAGGCGAGGCCCGAGCGGCTCCACCGCCGCCTTTCCCCGTCGGTCCCGTTCTGTCCATCTTTGTGTCCGCTGCTCTATAGAAGCAGAGGCCGGTGTGCTAGCAGGGCGCCCGGCCATGTGCTGAGGGAGGCCCCCAGGACTCGGCTCGGATCCCGGTGTCGCGGGTGTGCGTGAAACATCCCTTGTGTGCTCCCCGTGCGACTCTCGGTAAGGCGGCTCTGCGTGTTCGTGTCCGCACCTGCGTGGCTATAAAAGATACTGGTCTCTGGTGTGTATTTGAGCTTGAACGTTCCCTGCTCGCGTGGAGGTGAGTGGAGTGGCGGCGTTTGGGTCGAGGCCTCTGCGGCCTTGCTCTGCCGTGGTGAGTGCAGAGGGAGCCGCACAGCCCACGTCACCCGCTTCATCTTCATGCCCGGCATGCGGAGCTCTCCGCAGGCTGGCGGCGTGGATCTCCTGCCGTGGGAGCTTCCTGTTGAAGCAGGGGAGCAAAGGCCTTTTCTACCTCATTTCCACTTAAAAGTGCCACTTCTGCCTTTTTGCCTGCTTTTAGCATTCCTAACATGGAAGCTTGTCCTGGGCGCGTCTAGTTTTTTCTCTGGAAACTGATGGTTGAGGAAGTGGGAGTGTGAGAGGTCAGTTTCCACCGGTGTGATGTGTGAAGCTGTAAGTTTCCACCCAGGAACACTTGAAAATGTTTATCTTGATTTCAAAATATTGATATTCTTCAGTGAAAACTTCTTCCTAAGCTGAACATTTTCTCTGCTGTTGATGTCCGTTTACATCAGATATAAACGATGGATGTTTAAGGTCTCCGAATAGTTGTTGTGTAAGTATTTACCCCTGAAACTTAAACAGCACGGTGGCTGTGTGCCCAGTCAGCTGCAAGGGCTCAGATTTTGGGTGGTAAACTGTGATGGACTGATCACTTACAAGTTTGTGGGCAAATATAGTCGAAAATACGCTCTGCACGTGTAAAGAAACCTGTCAGAAAGGTTAGAATGTGACTTTGTCCTTGTCCTTCCTTTCCTTCCTTCATTTCCAAATGCTTTGGTGGTGGAGAGAAGCTGGTGGCTGTAGGTACCCCTTCCTTTTCTTGGATGACGTGGTGTGGGTGAAGCTCTGCCTTCCCACCAGACAGATGTGGTTTGATCAGGGACCTTGGTGCATCTGGAATGGGTTTCGTGTTCAGTTGGCTAATGTCTTTCTTGTAAAAGGCTTTATCAAAATAAGCAGTTACTGCAGGCCCAAAGGGAATCGCTTCCTTTGTCAGCTTGAAGTCAGGACATCTGGAACTCGGGGTGTCTGTAAGCACTGAAGTGATGTGGGTATTGGCTGTTGTAGGATGGAATTCCTGGCTCATGCGGAATTGGAGTGGAAAAGGTTTTCTTGTTCAGCTGTAGCCATGATCTTGTGCCAGTGAGGCTAGAAGGCCTTTGCATATGGTCTGCCTCTATTATCCTGAATGCAAACCTGTGGAAAAGGAGGAAGAATGGTAAAGGAAAGATAGTGGAAAGGGGAGTGAGCAGCCAGCCAAAGAGAGGGGCCTTGGAACTTGGCTGTAGTTTACAAGCTGCTGGGGACACACAGCCCTGAGGAAGGGGAGTTGGCATGCAAAGAGAATGTAACAAATGTGGCAGAGAGGAGGGTCCGAAGTGTTCACAGTTGTGTCTCTGGCTGCTAATGCTGAGTTATTTCCTTCATTTCTGTACTGCTGGGGAAGATTTTTCCCTTATATTGACAGTGACAGATATAGGAGTTGAAGATGTGGACTACAATTAATGTGTGTCTGTGGTCTGTGTAGGGTCTGAGCAAACACATTTTATGTGTAGTGTGGTCTCCCTCCTTATATGCACATGAATAAGTTATGTAAAAATAAAGTATTGGAATGCTGTGGGAGAAAGTGATACATGATACAAAGGGTTTCTTGCCACGCTTTTGTTCCCTTTTTCTGGAAGTTGCCCAAATTCCATTTGATTCCTGATAAAAATAATTCTGTTCAGTTTTAATGTGGTACAGGATGACTGGGAGGTTTTACTCACCTTTAATTACAGTAACCTTTTCAGTCTACAGCACTTAACTGTTTCTGTCTAACACAAATGAACTAAGATTGAAAGGAAGCATATTCTAAACATCAGTGAAAACACTCTCTCTTAAATAATACAGAATGAAGTAGTTGTCAACAAGATATTCAGGAAGGAGGAAGTGCTTTGAATGAAAGGCAGCAAATAACTTTAGCTTCTAACAGTGATAATACGTAGGTACAATGTTGATTCCCTTCTGAATCGCATTGGCTGAGCTGGTGGTACATATAATTTTCTTTATGTACTGCTGTGGTTGTGTTTCCTGGGAATTCTGCTTTAGAATTGTCAAAGAACTGGTCACATTCCTACAAATGGAATGTTTTCTTATCTGTAGCAATTCTCTTCCTAAAACAGCCTTCCTTTCCTAATTAAAGGTATGTTCTCCCACCATCCCCTGCTGGGTTACAGCAGTTGTATTCAGTGCTTAATCATTTACCTCCCAAAATTATTGCAAGATTATGAATCCTCTTGATAATTGCAGGACTTGTGACTGTTTAGTCAAACAGCAGAGTGAGCAAGTGCTAAAGGCTTTCAGAAAGGCATTTCTGCCTCTCAGAACAGTATTTGGTGTAAACATCAACCTGCTATTTTTTGTTTGGTATCTTGACTGATGAATAAGCTGACATTTAGTAGTTGGTGCTGTTTCTAGTCAGCTGGGTGACTTCTGTGTCTTAGAAGTTTGTTTTCTGGGGTAGAAATGAAGAGGTGGACTGGAAGTAAAAAGGAAGAAGATACTTACATCAAATTAATCTAAATACTGTCCAGTGGAAGGTGTCCCTGCCCACTGCAGGGCATTGGAACTGAATGAGCTTTAAGGTCCCTTCCAACCCAAACCAGTCTGTGGATCTGTGATTCCGTATTGTACTGTCAAATTAGTTGGAAGTATTAATTCATTTCTTACCTGAATTGCAGCCTTATGCTGCACTCTACACTGTATTTCCTTTAATCATGAGTGGTTTGTGTACTTTCAGTTTTCCAGGCTGTGTATTGCGTGTGAATCACGTTTTTTGTCTCAATGCAGTCTTTTATCTGTGGCTTGACACTTCTGCCTGCTGCTGCCATCCGTGCTTTATAAATTCAGAGTAAGATGATGTGTTCTGCCAGTGAGACCTGGCTGCTGCAACTGGAATTCTGTTTTGTGTAAAAGGTCCCAATAATTGCCTTATTTTCTTAGAATTCAGTTGGTAACCTGATGGGTCTGGGAGCAGCATCAAGTAAGAATCCATTTTGATACAACATATTCCCTAGAAGAGTTTCTATGTTTGCCACCCCCATCCCCTTTTCTGTTAGTTCTTTTTCATAGAGATATACTTGTAAGGTACTAACCATCTTGTCAGTGTCAAATCCTTGATGATGACTTAGTTATTTGGGTTTCTTTTTCTCCCTTTGTAGAATCATGGCGAGTCCAAGAACAAGAAAAGTTCTGAAGGAAGTCAGAGCACAAGATGAGAACAATGTGAGAAAAGCATAATCTTCTTTACATTTGTTTTATAGATTTTCTTTTTACCTGCTCCAGATGTATGCTGCAGTCTTGATAGCACTAGTATGGCTAACTACTGGTAACAAGTTGGATGTCACCAATTTGTTGTAGTTCCAGTAGCTGTCACTCATAAATCACTGTGAATTTGGCACAGATCTTTCAGATGCTCTAGTAATGCTGTAACCCCTGGAGTCTGTTGAACAAGTGACACCTTGGGCACAGCTTAATTAAAATGGTCTATTTCAAGTAGTTGATTATACACTTCCTTCACTGTGATAGCCCATGGGCAGGTTCAGTTTTAGTTGTATCAATGCATTAAACGTTAAATGATGATTCCAGTCGTAAGAACTTTCTTGCTCTGTATGAGCAATAGAGCTATTTTTAAGAAAAACCTCTGTTTAGATGCCAAACTGCAGCATGACTGAATAAATGTTCTGAACTTTAAATGTTGCATCTTTCTTTTGCCAAGGAAACCTCAAGAATTCAGTTTGGTCGCATTCTCCTCCTTCAAGGCAATATGGAAATGAAATACAGTTGAATTCTTTGCTCATTCACTTCACTTTGCTCATCTGTATTTCCTCCCTGGTTTTTAATACTGGCACAGTAATTTTTGTAATTCAAGTCAGGCAAGTTAATGAGTATTTCTATGCAGCATAAATAAATACTTGAAGGAAGCTTATGCTGTCAGGGAAGGTGTTTCCAAGCACTAAGAATTCTCCTTTCTGAAATGATTTTCTGTGTGTAATGCTTTCCTGATGGACTTTTTGAGCTCCACTGTGTAAACTTCACATGGAGGAGTTGATGGGCGAGTGTTAGAGGTAACTATTGGCTCTCTCACAGGTCTGTTTTGAGTGTGGTGCCTTTAACCCCCAGTGGGTGAGTGTGACCTATGGAATTTGGATCTGTCTGGAGTGCTCAGGAAAACACCGAGGCTTGGGAGTTCACCTCAGGTGAGCCTTTCAACCAGACATGGACTGACTTGTGTTCCCTCAGGATGCACTACGGCTGTGAACAGAAAGGGTATAGGGTGTCTCAAATCCAACATTTCACTGGCAGTTTTGTTTCATGCTCCTCTCCAAAGCAAGCTTTACTCTCGGTGCCTTGTCTATAATCAGTTGGGGTGTGTGCTCCACCACTACAGCTATGTCATGCCCTGTTCTAGAAAGCAATGTTTCTAGCTTCAGCTTGAGGTTTGGTAATAGTGCACTAGTCCTTATACTCTATTCTTTTAATCTTGTATAGCCTTTATAGATTAAAAGTGAAGCAGTGTTAGAGGTGCTTGGGAGTTGAGTACAAAAAGTCACAGTGTGTTTATAGAATGGGTCTGTAAGGGTATACAAGTGTATAAAATCAACTGAGATGGGAATCTGCGGAATAAGAACTGTTGATGTGTTGCAGACTCACAGTGTATAGACGCAATAGGGGCAGAGCATGGGGTAGTTACTCAAATGAGAAAGGGAAAGAAAATCCAGAAGGGAAGTCACTAAAGAAAGAAGGCCATGCTTTGCTTTCAGAAGTATGTGCTTTGCTTTTCAAGGGGGGATTTGAAGCTCATTAGTAAGTAGAAATTGCTCAGGAAATGGGAGCTTGGAACTATTCCATATGTTTCATGAAAGAAAAAATGAAATTGCCGAGATCAGGACATTCTAAAGGTGTTTCTTTAGTGACTGCAAGAAAGAAATTGATTAAGATACACGTGTTAAAACAGTCTTCCTCAGGATGATGTCTCACTTCTACCACTCCCTTCTGACTTTTTAGTTTTGTACGTTCTGTAACCATGGACAAGTGGAAGGATATTGAGCTGGAGAAGATGAAGGCTGGAGGTAATAGCAAATTCCGAGAGTTCCTGGAGTCTCAGGATGACTATGATCCCTGCTGGACAATGCAAGAGAAGTACAACAGCAAAGCTGCAGCTCTCTTTAGGGATCAGGTCAGTCCAGTTGTGCACTGCAAATATCCAAGTACTTTGTAAGTGCTTGTTTTTGAAGAGGGAGGAGGGAAAGTAGCAGCCTCTGCAGTGGTTCTTGAAATGAAGAAGTCTTGAAGTGCTTCTTCCCAGCTCTTGTAAGAGCTTCAATTAGAAACTTTCTTTTCTGCATTTAGCTGAGATGGTTCAGTTTTTCACTGCTGCAGTTTGTTGCAGTGAATCCAACCCCCAGCAGGGAGTTTACTGCTTGAGCAGTATGGTTTTACCTGAAGTGGCTGCTGATAAATCTTTTGTGCATGTAGTAACAAAATGGTAAATGTAGTAACAAACATGGCAAACCCTAGCAGGCTCATAACCAAATAAATCGGTAATTGTAGTGGAATTATCATTTTGTAGAGGTTTAGAATTTCCAAAACCAAAATTACAAACAGCTTACAAAGAGACTTACAAAGGTAACTCTATTTTTATGCTGACCCTGCCATGGAAGTGGTAAGAAGGTACATTCTGTGCTTGCTGGGGTATCCCTGCAGCTTTAAAGTTGTGTGTGTTGTCTCTGCATCTTTAGAAGTTCCTATGAACAGGAGACGGTTGGCTGAAGTGGAGTAGCTTGATGAAGGGCAAGAATTCCTAAGTTGTGTGCTGTAGGCTCTTTAGTATGTAAAAAGAGGAACTCTAGTGTTTTTGTGGCAAGGCCTTTGGAAGTTTTATATGAACTTGCTGAAGTTATAACTGGGATTGGAGAAGCAGTATGGGCTGAAGAGATGATGTTCAGGGCCTTTCTTTAAAGGAGGCAGTGAGAACACTTAGAAGTGTGTATGTGTTTTAGCTGACATATGCTAGGGTAAATCCACCTCTTCCAGTCATTCTGGGATTAGTGCTTACCTCTCTTTATTAATCTAATATTTCCTCTTCAAACCACAATTGTTTGAAGAAGTTGCCTGAAATAAAATTAATGTTTAATTCAGCTTTTCTACAGATGCAGAAGCAAATTGGTTTCTTGTGAAAACAAATGAATGGATCTATGGCAGGAGATGTGAAAAATGTCTTGTCCTTGTCTGCTTTCCAGGACCAGTGTATAACTTGTATGAAAACTCTGACCTAGCATTCTTGATCATTTTCCTACTTATTCTAGGTAGCTACAGTAGCTGAAGGCAAGGAATGGTCGATTGAAACTTCTCCTGCAAGGAACTGGACCCCACCTCAGCCTAAAACATCTCTTTCTCCTCATCGGTGTGTATTCTTGTTATCTCATATTGGCATAGCCACAGCAGGATCAAAATTATTCTGATGTTTGAATGTCTGCTGCTTTTACTCGGTTGATGGTGTTGTCTGAACAAGCATTTCTTCTGCTGAAGTTAAGGAATATCATGTAGCAGAGCTTTCCTTATGCTGCTCATTACTGATAGGAGCATCAAAGCTGGACCAGAGCTCTTTTGTTGTTCTGCTTTTGCATGTAGTCTTTGTTATTTGCTGTACTAAAGAATCAAGTTAACATAAAAGCAGTTGGAAATCAAGTGGATAAGTGCTTCATGCCTGGCCATCATCCAGCATGTCCAAGGGCTGCCTGTAGTCTGAGTGGTGTTGTCTGTGTCCAGGTTTACTGTTGCTTTATTCATTCAATACTCCAATGGCTTTTACTGGTTGCATTAGAGTTCGCTACTTGATAGATGAAAGAAATAATCAGTTTTGCCCCTGGATGATGGTGATCTGTGTCAGGCTGCACTACTGAGCTAGGGAGTTTTGCTTTACTCAGTTTGATTCTTAAATCTTTCAGTAGTTATGCTGGACAATCTCAGACTGCGACTGCCTCTTCTGACAAGGCTTTTGAAGACTGGTTAAATGATGATGTCAATTCCTACCAAGGGTAATGCAATATTTATTCACTTTTTGGGTGCCTGGCCCTCCAGCATAACAAAGACTTGAATGTTGTACTGCAGCTACACAGCTGTGATCCTCATTCACTAGTTAACACATCTTGTTTGCTATTAAAAATATGTTGGTCATATATGATAAAGTATAAAAGGAAGGAAAGTGCCTCTTCATACATTTGTATAACAAGAATGTTCTGATAGCATTGAAGAAAGAGCTTGTAACTCAAAACGTTACTGTGGTGGGCTCCAAACTAGGAAATTCTTAGTGTATTCAGTATATTATTGAGTTAAACAGGAGTATTTGTAAAGCTAACCCCGTTTTCTTCTTTCTTTCCTTTTCCCATTTTCATGTATCACTTTAATAGGATTTACTCAGACTTCTGATACTAAACCTGGGGAGTTATTGAGCCACATTAACTTGCTTAGGGGACACTTTAACTTGCAAGGATTCCCAGTGGGTCCTTCTTGTTGTTACATCTTTGAAGTGAGTGGGTTTGTATTTTGAGTGCTAGGTACTATAAGACTTTTTTTTTCCAGGTGTATTTTAAAGCCTGTTAAACAATTGCCATTCTTTCATGCTTTTCAGTTTTCTTTTAATGGTTTTAATGAATGCATGCTAATACAGACATTGTTTATTCATTTCCTTGTGCTAGTGGCCAAGAGAATCGCTATGTTGGGTTCGGCAACACAGTAAACCCTCCAAAAAAAGAGGATGACTTCCTGAACAATGCTATGTCCTCACTGTACTCGGTAAGGAATTGCTTTAAGTGACCTCAGTTACTATTTTCTTCTGTCCCCTGTTATGAGAGGATATAAATGGAGAAGAGAAACTGAAAGCTGCAGGTAGATAACGGAGAGATGCAGAGTATTGGTTGCTTCCTCAAAGAGTGAAGGTGATGTGGTGGACTTTAAAGGGCAAAATGAAGGGAGAAACTTGAGCAAACCTTAGGAATTGTGTCTGGTATTAGTCATACAAATAAATAAATGAGGCTATAGAAATGGATTAAGAACTAATACTCCACAAGGCTTGGAGAGATAAAAGTAATTACCTGTTGGGAATAGCAGTTAGGGTGGCAGCGGTCTAAATAGATTAGCCATATTAGGTATGTTCAGTGGAAAATGACTGAAATGTGTGTGTAGAGGGGTGCCAAGAACTTTGAGCAGTGATGAAAACATTTGAAATGCCTGTGACAGCATGTGAAGAGGTAACAGCATATGGTTGAACAGTTGTCATGATTGAAGTAGAGATAGAGAAAGATGCATTGTTGAAGGAAAATGAGGATAAAGTCAGAGGGAGTCAGGGACACAGGGGGCTTTGATAGGCTGCAGAGTGGCAGTGTTAACCACTATTTGGGATTTGGAATCACTTTGGAATACAGTAAGGTTTTCTACCAGGGTTTTTGGCCAGTAGGTTTCTGTGGAGCCTCATCTGTCTAAATACGTACACTAGGTTCCACTGTTGTTTTAAAAAATACAGTAATTTCTCTAGAACACAATAGACAAAGGTAATGCCTGAGCCTTTGACCAGTATTCCAGGTGATTCCATAGGATGCTTTGTACTGGTCTGCTCATTTTCTAGTTATGTGATAGATTGTAGACCAGAGAATTCAGATTAGAAACCACGTTTATAACGTATCCCAGCTGTGCTAAGACAGCAAAGGAGAGATGTCACTGTTACCCCAGTTACTGTCAACTGTTACTTGAGCCTAGAATCTCCTTGAAACTTATGATTCAAATGCCCTCTTGTGACCACAGGTGCATATTACAGTGTGATTTTAAGGCCTTGATTATAGTGAGGCTGAATTTTTTTCATGTAGCCATTTACAGAAGAGTATCATCTGAAGCAGTCAGATCTGTTCAAATTGCAGTTGATTTGCACAAATAATGGAAGTTCGCTGCTGTGTTACAGTTAAGTGAGAGTATAATTTTTGCTGTTCCTGGTGAGTAGTTCTTCTGACTACAGGGCAAGGTGTATTGCAGAACATTTTGACTTCATTCAACATGTAATACTGAGCACCTGGTTATTCACTACATTATATATATAATATATATGTATATATATTTAAGTTATACATATAACTTACAGCATTCTCGCTTTCTTTAAAGGGGTGGAGCAGTTTTACAACTGGAGCAAGCAAAATTGCCTCTGCTGCTAAAGAGGGTGTAAGTAAACAGTGTATTTCAGTGTAATCCTTGTAAACTCAGAGGTTCTGATAGTGTTTTAGTAGTGTTGTGCCTTTAAAAGTACTATCGGTGCAAACTGAATTCTGCTCTTTGTATATCTTTGCCTGTGGCATATAAAATGGTTGCATATTGAGTGCAGATCTTTGCCTTAACTGTTTCTCATGCTTCTGGATGGATATTTGTGTTAATTCATCCACTGGATGATGGTGGAAAGAGATGTGTAGTCTGTGTTGAAGAGCTTTTTCTTCCCCCTGTTGTAAGTTGAGAAAGACCCATGCTTCCCCAGAGCAATCTCGAATGCCAGAGGTCGTCATATGGATCTCCTCTGTTTGCTGTGAAATTCTGGCAAAGCTCCATTCATCTTGGAGAGGCTCATGCAGCATTTCTACATGTGTGTATTTAAAAAGCAAGGGGTTTATTCCTAGTAAACTTGAATATATTTTCTCCTTTTCACAGGCGACCAGATTTGGATCTCAAGCAAGTCAAAAGGTGATTATAGATTTTGCTCTTTCTTATTGACTGTAACTGGCTTTAAATGTCACGTACTTGCCTGCACTGATTGATTTGGATTTGATCCTGAACAGACCACTGTGTTTTTCCTTTGTAGTGTACAGTAATTTTAGGCTCTCGTTTTGATTTCCATGGGAATTGCATGGGAACTGCAGTGATCAAATTAAGCAAGAAATAAACAGTGCTGCTCTGCTGTGTGTAACTGTTGGGTGTACTGGAGAGGCAGTACAATGAAACGCTTTAATTCTTGCATGCTTGCAAGCTTCAAATACCCGTATTTTATGTTTGTGAACCTTAAATGTTCCCTAACTTGAAGTAGGTTTCTTAGTGACATAATGCAAGCCATTGCTAAAGTCTAACAATGTATAATAAATATGAACTGCTTAATATTGTTATGAAATTAACTTGTAGAGCATTAGCCTGGCATGCTTTCTGCTCTGTGTAGGATGGTATTGCTCAAAACCAGTGTGAAATGCAGGTATTGGTGCTCAGACAGATGTTTGCAGTATTGTGTTAATACTCCAGATAGCAAAGTTGAATGTTTTGCAACAAAACTGTCTGTGAAAACACCCAGACTTGCCACTTAAAAGCTTTGAAGTATTCGCTGCTTGGCTTATGTAAAAAAACAAGTGTTATACAGATCTTCCTCTTTCACTCCTTGCAGCAGCTTCCCTTCTAGCTACCTCTTCTTTCTTTAGTGTTATGAGCAAACCTAAATACAATATTAGGTGTGAAAGCTCATCACATGTACTGACAAGGACCACAGCAACACAGTGCTTTAGACCCTAAGCTGTGTTACTGATGCCTAAACGTTGTTCCTGAAACATCTGATCCTTTGCCCTGTAGAAGAGATTGAACATCTTTTTGATGTAATAATTGTTTAAAAGTCTGTTGGATGTCCAGTGAGCAAACACATTCACTCTTTGTCTTGTCAGTAGATGTTGAAGGTGGAAAAGGTTTGTGCTACTTAACTTGCCTGAAAAATTGCTGCCAAGTTTTTGCTAAAAGCTGCTTCTACCTTCCTTGCTCTTTCTCTTTTGCTGTCTGGGTAAAGTTTTGGGGCTACAAGCAGCAGCCAGAGCCGGTAACACCCTCACATATATTCTTGTGCATGGGCTCCTTGTCACTGTTTGTGCTGAATATGTGCATTTGCTCTTGAGCTGTCTTTTCTTTTCTTGCCTTAAGTCCAACCTGTTCAGAACAATGTTGTGTGTTTCATACAGTAATAGTTCTTCAGTCTGACTTAAAATAGGCTAAACTGGATAGGATTTCAGGATTTCTGTTTGCATGTCACATCCAGGAATGCAGGATACCAAGAACTCCCCTGGGGTGATGTGTGAAGCCAGACTCTTTACTAAGTGTCCTGTTAACGCAGTGTTTGTAATGGTGGTTAGGATGCTATCCTGAATTCGGTAGTAGTAAAGGTGAAGAAGTGGTACAGATGGAAACACAATTGTACCCAGATCTTTCCATATTTATAAAATTATGTGGTTCAGTAAATGGGATAGTAAAAGAGGTCTTCCTAATTCTAGCAATGACTCCTCTTAGCTCTTAGTCTTGGTATATTACACTCTTCATAACATAAACAGTTTGCCAGGTTTAACAGAGTGAAGGATTTTTCAAAGGTCAAAAATGCCCTTGTTTTTGCTAAGCACTTCCCAGCCTTTCTAGCACTTCCCTTCCAATGGAAACAAGCCTTATGTGATTTGCATTTGCATTCCTTACTAGGGGGAAGTGGGGTTACCTTTTGCCTTTGTCTTCTCAAATGACTTTTGAACTGGTAAGGAGTAGAAGTGCTGGCGATAATGGAGGTTGACTAGAGGGGAGATCCTAGAAGCTCTGTGGCAAAGAGAAAGGCTTCTTAGACACCATGGAGTCTATGGAGGGAAGATGTTCAAGGTGCTCCATTCCAAGGAAGAACAGGAAGGCTCACGCACCCTAAGCAATGATAGCAATAAGATATAAACCCTTAGGAAACAAAACCTCATCAGCCTCTGCTAATGTTTAGGCAAGGATACTGGCCCTTTTGAATCAATTGAGCTAATTCAGAAGGTAAGCAGTGTAATATGGCAATTCTGAAGAAAAGCTTCCATCAGTCAAAGGCTTATTATGGTAGTAGGGAAAGGAATGATTTCATATGAAGCACTTGCAATCCCTGCTGTCCTTGTCAGTGTAAGTACAGTATCCTTACACATCTTGTTCTGCATTGCAATAGGTTTCTGAAGTTCATCGTTTTTTCTCTCCTTGCAAACCTGGATCATTAAGTAAAGATTGCAAAAATCTTCTGTCACAGCCTTGGCTCTTCTGTACTGCTTAGAAACAATGGGGCTGTTATTAAAGATGACAATACAGCATTAGAAGACACAAGAATGGAGGAAAAATTGGCCCAAAAGATCTAGTTCTTCAAGTAATCCCATTAGTAAGGAAAAATGAGGGTGGATGAGGTCAGTTCTTCCAAATACTCAGCTGCAGGGATTAGCAAGGGCCCCATCTCTGAGGCTGTTGCTGGTTGAACCATTGCTTCTGCTTCCAGTGCAAGGTCAGACTTTGCTTGGGCTCTGAGCATCTCCAACAACCTATTGCTGTGTACATCTGGTTTTCATGTATTTTCTGTTACTGTTTCCTGCAGCACTGTACTGTGTGTGCTTTTCAGCTCATTCTGCTTGTTTGAATCAAACCTCTTGCAGCCTTCATGTGTTTTTGGAGATACTGCTGAGAAATGAGCCTGCAGAAGATGTTGGCTGTGGTTTTTGGTGCTTGGTTGGGGTTTTTTTTAAGGAAACTATAACTGACTTTGTTTTTGTTTTGCTTTTAAATAGGCATCAGAGTTAGGTCAGACATTAAATGAAAATGTTCTCAAACCTGCACAGGAAAAGGTAACTTTGGAACTAGTAAATTACTTGCAGAACATGGTTATGCTCACTTAGGGCGGGATCTTTTTCCTCCTGTCACAAGTGCCTGGATTGCCAGTGTGTCATTCTGTCCTACATACACCAGCACAGTAGCAAAGAGGAAACAGCAAATAGTTCAGTTGTACTCTGGTTGATCAGCGTTTTAATATCTGAATAAGCATGTATAAAAAAATAGAGGATATAATGGATATAACAGGGTTTTAGTCTCTCAAAACTAAATCTTTTTATTTAATATATTTATAACATGCCACATTTACAGATACTTTTGTACTGGTGTTTTTATGGTCAGAATTAGTGTAGTGGCACCTTCTTCAAACTCTCTATATAATTCCCTTCAAAAACTTCAGAAGACTGAGGTTCACTCCATCATAGGTCAATGGACTTCATATGTAATTTCCTTAACTTTATTAGTTTTCCTATATTTTGAGTCACTTTCAGTTTGGTTTGTTTTGTCTTTACACTTTCTGTTATAGCTGTTAAGCACAACTAAGTTTGTCTTAAGGTTTCAGTAATACCTTTGGTTTATGACTAATTACTAATACTTTGATTCACATAGGTGAAAGAGGGGAAAATATTTGAGGAGGTCACCGTGGGGGTATCCCAGTTGGCCAGCAAGGTACGAAGTGGCCTCCCTGCTTTTAAGGAGGCCACACGCACGAAGCCAGTCTCCATATTCTTAACAATGCAGCTTTAGTCTCTGCTTTGTTAAATACAGATATATTGGAAGTGTAACATTCAGTACTTCTGCTGGGGTGTTATAAAGCTGTTCCAGGTATGATGTAGTCCTTGTAGTAGCTTCCCCAAGAGCATGATGTGGAGTTACAAGGCAGCCAATGTCCCAGACACCAACCGAAAATGTCTGCTGGAGGATATGGAGACAGCTTGTGTTGTATTTGTACAGTTAAACTTACTAATGTGCTCTACCTTTTTTCTTTGTCATCTTTTGCTGTCATTGCTTGGTAATGGGGTAAGTGCTCTCTCCAGCTGTGAGGTGCAGAAGTCCTGCACAAGCTAATAGCTGTTTTGGTGACTTGTATGGTGTTACTTAGGAGGGTCTGTACTTCTAACACTTCTAATTTCTAAGTCAGCACTGGAAGCTCTATCGTAATGCTTTAAATGTTGGAAATATTTGAATGCAATAAGTGATGTTACCTGTTCTTTTTAAAGTAACTTTTAGTCTGAATGCTGGGACTCGTCCTCTGTATCTGTGACTTAGAAGAGTAACTTCCATGGCTGTCACTTCAGAATTTGTGTTTCTAGTCCAATGCCAGTCCATTATAATAACCCCCAAAGGATTCTCCTAGCAGTTCTGTTTATTCTAGAGCACAGTTTTTGGCCTATTTTACGTGGGCAGTGAAACAATACCACTGGAACAGGATGAAAATGGTTTTGTAGCACAGTAGAAATATACATACTAGTTACATGAATCTTAACATCAATACACTGGTGCTGTCATTAAGTTTAATTTTATGTATGGAATAATTCCAGCATTTTTGACAGGGAAGTCTAGGAGAGAATTCTGTTGACTGCTACTGACAGTGATGGGTGACAAAGCTGAACTTGACCAACTTCTCACGTCTTCCAGCATCCCATTTCTGTCAAGTGTATGTTCTTTACGTCAATCACAAAACTGCCCACCAAGAGCAGTAGTGACTTGTGAGTGAAATTTACTGGTGCAGTGTGTTCTCTTTATCTGAACAAGTGGAGGAATGTGGTGTGGCTTCTGCTGTCGGGCTTGGAAGAGGTGTTGGTTCACTCTGAATGAATGGAATGTCCTTTTTCTTCTCTAGGTTCAGGGAGTTGGGAGTAAGGGATGGCGAGATGTCACCACTTTCTTTTCCGGCAAACCAGATGATAATGCTGACAGGTATTATTATTGTCTCTTTAAACATGTAATTTTATCACCTATATATTCTCTGCAATACAGTAATAGCACGTAATTTTTACATGGGAAGAGGTGATTCTGTCTTTGCTAGTGGTCCTTCTGCCTGTGATATGGGAGGAATTCAGTCCAAATTCATGACAGTTGTTAAACTGAGAACCAAATAGTGCCTGGCTTGGTTTTAAAGTTACTCCAAGTGCATATCCCCTTATCCTGCACTTACTAAGGCTGTTAAAAATCTATGAATTAGAATAAAAGCTTATGCTATTCAGAGCAATATATTTAGTTCTAGTTTTGTTTAAGCAAAGGGCAGGAGCATTAGAGTTTGCTTTGTTTGTGGTCATTTATTATGGTTGTCATAACTGATTTATTTCTACCTTCTTGGTGTTCTTTCCCCCATAACAGACCCCCAGAGGGAGGCAGCTACCAGAACAGTGGTGGGGAGAGCTACCAGAACAATGCTGTAGATCAGAGCTTCTGGGAGACCTTCGGCAACTCAGATCCACCAAAAGCTCATAAATCTCCAAGCAGTGAGAGCTGGACCTATGTGGACAATTCCACAGAGAAGAAGAGCTCCGATAGCTGGGACGTGTGGGGCTCAGGAACAGTCTCCAACAACAAGAACAGTAACAGCGATAGTTGGGAAAACTGGGAAACCAACTGGGAAAACGCAGGAGGAGAGAGCAAGACCAGAAAACCTCCTAAGGCAACAAAAAAGGCATCTTCAGCTGGTGATGGGTGGGATAACCAGAACTGGTAGAACTCTGTTAACCCTGTTTTGCACAGCTAGCAAAGGGAGGCTGTGCTGGCTGATGGAGGGGAGAAGGTTTTACATGCAGCTGGAGTATTGTGGTTGACCTTTACTGATCTGTTACTTTTGTGCTTCCTGTTCATTCTCCTTTCTTCTGTCCTGGTTTAGAAAAACAGAAGTAGCATCTGAATCTTTTATTGCATAAAGGTGGCTCTCCCTTTTTTAAGCCCAGTGCTGACTGTATCCTCCTTGCGCTGTCAAAGCTGGGTACAGTGACTTTCTTAACATGAATGTTCAAAGGGAAGAAAGCAGTGCAAGCACATCTTCATGGCACAGCCTTGCATGTATAGGTTAATAGGTGTTCATCCAGTCCTCATGTAACTTGAGATGACCTGAGGTGTTCAATGCAAAGGAAGGACAGGGTTTGTCTTGAAAAGATATCCATTAAATAACAAGCTGCAGTTGAATAGATGTAGTTCAAATGCCTTACGGATTGCTGTGACTATATTTAGTCTGGCAATTCAAGATGGCCATTAAGATTATTTTCTATTGGAGCTTTGTTTTTAAACTTTGAGGGTTCTTTTTTAGCCTTTTAAATCTTATTTTCTCCCCTTAATAAGGAATCTAGAGCTAGATAATTCCTTGTATAAACTCATAGTTCTGACCTGAGCTATCAAGGGATATCCAGAATGGCTCTACCTGCCCTTCTTGTTCAATGGGTCAAGACTTTGTGCAGTGCAGCTCTTCTACACAGACAAAATGCCAGTCTGTGGTGTTCTCCTTCCCCCAGTTTGACTATTTTATATAGTCTGGTTTTTATTCTTGTCTTTCTTCCTTCTCCCCATCATTTTTATCAAAAGAGATAAAATAGAAATCATTCTGCTGCTCACAGCCTTTTGGACGTCTGTTTGGCAACTTGGCAGTGAAACAGATCTATAGAAGAGATTCCCGTAATAAAAAATAGATGGAAAATATGAAGACGTTGAGGAGAGAGGCTGGCAGCAAGCCCCTTCAAGATGAGTAGATGTCTGGCTTCAATAGTAAAGTTTAAGTTAAGCAGATGTTTTCCAAATGAATCTTTAATATGTCAAACTATCTCAGTTTCTGTCTTGGATTTCTCCACATTTTCTTCCTGGATCTTGTTAAAGAAACCCTATTTTGGGAACTCCAGAAACTCCTTGTCAGCATTAAGGAATGGAATAGAAGATTCAGTTATGTCTCTGTTTTGACCCCACAAACTGCTTTGCATGAAACGAGCCATAACTTCTACAGAAGAACTGTGACTATAAGGACAAAGATGTCCTATGTATCCCATTTTATTTTTGGGGTGGGTTGTAAATGTACACCCAGCCCAGAAACAAGCAGCTCACTTGGAAACTTCAAATCATTATGTCATTGCCTAGTCTGCTTTGATACCAGCATGGAGTTCTCTACTGTGGATCTTGATAGATGCCTAAAAAAGCCTTTTCTTCTTAAAATGAGTTAATTTGTTCAAGCAAACAACTTAAGTTGTCAAAGTTTCCTTAAGTACTGCTTCATCTCTTTTTTTCCTCTTCTTGGATGTTTTTGAGCCTGCAGTAATGTGAAGAGATTTGAAAGGAAGGGAAATTATGAATCGCTTCAAAAGTAGCAGATTTTAAAGGCTTCAGTCTAAGTAGGAGTAGCTCTATTTATAGCCTCATTCTGTATTTCTATTAGTAGGATCTTTCAGATGGTGAGCAAAGTATTTTTCTAGTCTTCTCTAGCCCTGTCCTGTGAGACTTGGCATGTCTCTTTATTCCCCTTGCTTCTCCTGACAGCGTGGTCTCTGCAGGACCCAGGCACTGCTCCAGGCTGAGCCATCCGAGGCATGTTCTCACCACCACGCTGACCCTTTGGAAGTGAGAGCTCTCAGTTTACAATGCTGCTTGTGGGTACCAGTGCAGATGTTTACAGCCTGACTTGGAAAACAAGGCTTTTGTTCTTCTTTTCCTCCAGTTCCGAGTATACCTTTGTCATAGCTTAACTGCATGTCAAACGTAACCTTGTATTTTGATGCATACACCTCTGTTGCCTACTTGTCATTTGTGTGCTGCCCAGTCTGAAGCTGTAATGCATGTGCTCGGAGCAAGTGCCGCATGGTGGGAAGTGGCACTGCCTGGTCCTTGGCCAACGGTTTGTCTTTGTGAAGTGTTGCGGTGATGGCAAAACCTATCCAATGGGTTGCACTGCTGCTGTCTGTCTGGAGTGATGTGAAGCTGATCCAGCTTCCTGTGTATGGCTATTACACTTTCATAAACCTCCTGAAATAGCTCATGGCGGGGTAAGCTTTATTTCAGCCCATTCAATCAACAGTGAATCAGCATCCAGTAACTGCGATGTGTATGCGTGCGTTCTGCTCAGCTGCGTGGCCTGCCTAAGGGGGAGCTGGTTGATTTTCATCACTTGCAGCTGGGATTGGCATGAGCCATTGGTTCCTCTGGTTTTAGTTTTGTGTCTCTTGAAACTTTATGTACTGAATGAACCTAAACAGCCAGAGCCCTACTCAGGCAGAAGCTTTGGGTAATGATTTGTCTTCGTGTTGAGGAGACAGGGGCAGAGCAGTTGCTGTCTCTCTTCTTGCGGTGCTGTAGAGAGGCAACAAAATGCCACAAAACCCAGAAAGGTGGTACTGGAAGATAGTAAAAACCAGTAAAATGGTATAAAACATAACTGCAGCTGCAAAGCTATTACCCCAGCTGGTCTCAGTTTCACAGGCAGATGGGTATTTTTTTATGACCTGTCTGAGTATTTTCCCGTGTCTTCCAGAGGAGAGGGTGAAATGAGGCATTTTTGTTTGTAAAGCCTCTGTTTTACTGGACTTTACTCCCGTTTTCTTTCCAGTCCCCCACTGTGCATTACCAATTGTAAGTCCTACAAGCAAATTGCAGTAGGTGAAATGAGCACTGCGACAATCGGACATTGTGGTGCTTGGTTTAGCTTCTCTGGTGTTTCAGACTGGTTTATTCCTTAGTATGGCTTCAACTTTGGGAAATACAGAGTAGTTGGATTCCTGCAGGTGGTCTGATATAAGAGAAACTTCATGACATTCAAACCAAGTGCTGCTTGCAGAGCAGGGAAAGTCTTGGAGAATGTCCCCAAGCCAGGAGCCTCATCCCAAGAGTTAGGGATTACTTTAAACTTGTTTCATTTCTCTCTTGAAACCTGTTAAGAATTACTGCATTTCAAGAAGTCTTTGGCCAGCTCTCCCTCACGGTTGATACCTCCAGGATGATTCTGCTGCTTTGATTTTTCCAGGCCAGACTGTGTAACATTCCATGGATTCATAATGTATTTATCAGTGTAATGATCTGTGCAATAATTTAACAAGCGTAGGTAAATCCTTTCTTGCTGAATCCAGGATACATTTAAAGATACAGTTGTCCTCTTGGAGAGCAGTGGCCTACAGAGGTGTTTTAGCTCCCACCTTGCTTTGGCAGTACTGAAAGAAAGGCTTGAGCAGGGATTTAAACAGGCATCAAGCAGCATTTCAATGTCCATTCTTAGGGTTTGACTGTAGTGGCTTTAGTGACCTCTGGTAGAGCCCTCTGTCATTGTCACACCCATGGAAGCTTGGTCAGTATGGAATACTGTATCTTTAATCTTCCTGCTGTGTTTTTGTGACTTTCACAGGAATGGCCGTTTCAGTGAACACTACTCATTGGTCTGTAGAGTGGTACCAGACTTGAACTGCAGTGTCAGCTTTTAAAGAGCATTATAATAAAGCAAAGAGAAACGGAGCACAACGGTGTTCAGCCCTTATTCAGGAGACTTCAGTTAACTTGAAACCCACATGTGGTGTTGTAGCTTATGTGGCCTGTTGAATGAAGTAAGTTAGTTCTTGCTGTGGTTAGCAGCACGGAGTAAACTCAAACTGGGATGCTTCAGAATGAAGAAAGTAGGAAAGTATTGGAATTGTCATGTTGGAGGAGAGTGACTGACAATAACAGCACAAATGTACATCCTGATGTGCATATTCTTCACTGACATAATAAGAAAGAAAGGAAACTGATGGTGTTGACAGCAGAACCCAAACCACATGTATCATCTTTATATTTCATTGGCATTTCATACTCTAAATGCTGATTTGAGATCTGTTTGAGTTGGGAACAGTTTTAAGACAACATTGGTTGCCTCCTTTATTTAAAGCGAACTAAAATACAGAAATTAGGGGTTTCAAGTAGATTTATGTGCTCTGAGGTCTTTACTTGTTTATGAAGGCACTTAGCACAGGAGAAAAGGTCACTTTTAAAGCAGTTTCCCTTTCCAAGAAGAGTGATTCCTGTGATGAATCATTCAGCTGGTGGTGGTGCTGAACATCAGGTTCCAGTTCCCTTCGTCAGCCAAGCAGCCACGTGAGTACTCCAGAGGATTGACTGCACTGAGCTTTGTGTAAACTTGAAGTATCTTCCAGTATGTTCTTGGTCAGCAGGACTGAATCCTGTTTGCCTTGTAGAAGTGATTTTACTGAGGCTTACACACAAGAAGTAGACATTTGGCTTGAGTAGCATCGCTCCACTGATAACGCTGTGTCTGTTCTCATCATAGCACCCCCCTGATGGGCTGCTCTGTGAGTTGAATGCAAAGCTTTCAGCATCTGGTTCTGGAGGGAGGTTTTGGCCTCTGTTCTGACAGCATGTAGAGGCCAGTGGCCTAGAAATACACAGAATACTATGGAAAGCAGTAACGTGCATTCTGAATTTCAAGCTGAGCGCCATTAGCAAAAGCTGAGCGAAAAAGTGAAGTCTAGACCAGACCTTGTCCTATCACTACGAACCCTCGGCAAAAGTCCATCTCCAGATTGCAGCCATTGGGTGAAAACTGAAAGGGAAGGTGAGCTGGGGTTGGCTTGTCCTGTTGGGAAGCTGTAAAGCCCAAAGCTCCGATGTTCGTGCAGTGCAATCATTCATCATCTGTTAAGTCACTCATTCACAAGGAGGCCGAGGCATGTTGCCTGCTTGCCTTGGCTCCAGCTCTTTGTGCTCTGTCAGCAAGAATTGCATCTCATCAGTGATGCAGGAAAAGAAAGCAGCTTCCTCTGCTGGTGTTAGGGTTAGGATAGATGAAACCACTGTGGTTTTCTATCCCCAAAGGATGCTTTATGTCCGAATTTCACCAGCACTGCCACAATGGCAGCATTTAAACTGGGTAAAACTGGAAAACATTAAATAAACACTGAAGACATCGGAGGAGAAGCCTCCTTGTAATCACCGAGAGCAAGTGGGAGAGACCGAGTCCGGTTACATGGCTGCCAAGAGGGAACCATGCCCGCTGCTCAAGCAGGAAAATCCAGTGCTATCAGCTCTCCACGCTTTGTAAACCGAGTTTTGTCTTTCCCTTTAAGCCCTGCCCAAGCGTGCTCCCTCTTATCCATTTGCTTGTGCATTCCTAACAATCTGGGTTCTGCAGGATGCGTTCCTTGGGATGAAGCTCCTCCTGATCAGTCCCAGTGCAGATTTTGCGCTGGTTCTGATGAAGGACTGGGGCATCTACCGGCTCCTTTTGGAACGTGTGCTCAGAGGGATGCTGCTGGGGAAGAGCCTCACTTCTCCTTCCTTCCTCTAGAGGGGATGGTATTACCGTGCATGGCTGCTGAAGGAGCCCAGCTTAAGGAAGGCTTGAATACCTGGATGCAGCGTTAGAAATGTGTTCCTGCTCCTGTACCTGCTTATCTCCAGCCCCATCCTGTTCTCTGCCTTTGACTTTCATGCTGTGTTAAGCCTACACGACACGAGTTCCTCTTCTCCATCCACACACACATAGTCCTTTGATTTTACTTGCTGCTGTAGGACTACAGCTCTCCCTCCTCTGCACACCAGGCTGGATGGAGGCAGTTTAAAGCTGTACCAAATGCAGGTTCTATGGCAGGTTGAAAGCCCTTTGCCATCAAACCAGTGTAACAGCCCTTTCTCTACAACAAGAAGGCATCAGACCCATGGTGCAGAGCCAGGACAGGGCTGGCGTCTCCATCACTCTTGATACAGATGGGGAATAGCAAGAGCCAGCTCTTTAATGGATAGTGGTAGGATCGCACTCGCCCTGCCAGGAGCAGTTCCTTTGGCTGTGTCAGCGCAGGCTGATTGTAATGCAATTAGCACGATTGCAGCATGGGACTGGAGACTTTCCCACCTCTGAAGGTTCAGGGTTTCTGCTCTGGGAGAGATGTGGGTTTAGAATTGCCACCTTACTTTGATCTTAAGACCACAGTGAAGAGCCTCACCCTGACGGTGAACAGAAGGAATCAAACTCCTCTGGCCTTCAAAGTCTCACCCAAACACTGCTACAGGAGCTGCCAGTTAAGGCCTATTCCAAGTCTCTCATGTTCCTTCTAATAGCTGTTGAGGAATGGGGAAGTGAGGATGACGCAGGTTCCCTGGCTTGTGGCATGAGAGAGTTTCTTTTGTTGCTGCTGTTCTTTGTTCTTTGTTTGGGTTTATTTCCCAATGAGAACTTTCATTCGTTCACCATGAAGGTGAGTACTTGGCTGTGATTTTATAGGCTGCAGCTCCTGGAGCAGTGCAGTTGTGGGAGAATCTCCTTTTTCAGGGGTTTGGGGTGCTTTATTGCAAGTTCAAGTTCTATTCTTTGTAGTTTTGGCGAACCACAACCGAGCTGTAATTGTTTAACATTAAGGGAAGCAAAGATCCCTCTATTTGCTGTTTTGAAGCCAGCCAAATTATTTCGACTTGCATTTGATTGCTTGGGATTAGCAGCGCTTCTTTTCCTTGGGAAGAAGCGATCCACATTGCTCTAACATCCCCCTTTATTTTCTGGAACAAAATGAAGGACACTCAATGACATGAGAGCTCCAGCTCAGGTTTATAACTGGCTAATGAGGAATTGCTGAATAACGTGCTCATTTGCTGCCACTCGAAGGTAATAAATCTGCCCAAACTTCTGGGGCTCTAGGAATGCTGCTGTCCCATCCCATTACCAGCTTCCAACACAGAAACTAAGGAGTTTCTATGGTGCAGCACACATCCATGGGGTGCAGCAGCTCAAGGCTGGCTTTAACGACAAGACCATTCCCCTGGGTGCTGTTGGATGTGACATCTCCACGCAGGACCCCCCCCTCTATCCCCGATGTGAGGTTTCCATGGAGGTGTTGGGTGTGAGGTGGCCTCCAGCACTTGCTGTGCTGCCATCAGTGAGTTAAGAGCAAACAGCCCCGGGGCTGGACTCTGAGCTTTGCAGCCAAATAGAAACCTATTTGCTGTAAGCAGCAGGGAGAGCCCGGCTCCTACACAAGGCTGGCTGAGCTCCAAGGGGAGCACACCTTGCTAGGGACAAGCAGCGACCCCAGGGAATGTTTCCTGTGGCCAGCACGGGGACGTTTCATGCTCAGAGGAAACACAGACCCTGTGAAATGGGGGTTTGATTGTGTTGATGTTGGCTGTGGGGATTGGTTTGTGTTTCGAAGCCCAATCGCGTTCCATGTGTGGGGCGAGAGGCGGTGACTGGTGGCTAGAGCCAAGCTGGTGGCATCCTGTTCGCTGGCTCCAAGCAGGGAAAATCACAAGCTCAGCCTGTTGCCAAACCCTCCTGCCCTGCATGGGAGATTCCTCCAGCTCCCTGCTTGCGATGCAGAGCTTGAGGTGCCGTGGGGAGGACAGGAGAGTGGAGAAGGGAAGGACTAAGGCGCATATTGCAGTAGCTGACAGGGATGGCTGTGACAGCTCGTGGTGTTCTCTGTGCCCTCTCCTGACTTGCTGCTGCAGGAAGGGAGCACTTTACTAATAGCTCTGTACCTCTTATGTATTTATAACTTAAAACCCAACTCATCTAATTCCCTCCCTGCCCTGCTAGGGAAGAAAGGAGACGGATAAAGAAATCCTTTAACCATTTTCACTTGGCTGTCCACAGAGGTGCCTCTGTCTTTTCTGAGCATTTCATGAATCAAATCACTAATCTATTGAAACAGGGAAGTTCAGACACTGCAGCTCCTCGGTAGAGAAGACCCAGATGCAGTGACCCCAATGCCATGCTGTGAATAGCATTTTCCATCTGTACATCTAGCTGATAAGTAAACCTAATTAATCCCTGCATGTATGGCAGTGGGAGAGGCCTACCTAGGGATAGGGATTGTTTTTCCCAACCCTGCCATGCTGTCAGCGTTGTGGAGTGATGGGGAATGAGGGATGAGGGGCTTCAGCAATGCGGGTGATGACAGTGCCCTGTTCTGTGCTGCGATGGGGAGCGATGGGATGGGCAGGGCTGGAGGAGTTGGCACATGTTCCCATTAGGAATGAAGGATTCTGCAGCGGGGAGCAGGGACAAGTCCTGGGAGCACCTTAAAGACCTGGCACGGACAGACCAGCATCGGCAACGTGGGAGCAGAGGCATTCCAAGAGCTGCCCCAGGCTGCCTGGGCGCACAAGGGGAGCCTGTTCTCCTGCATTTATAGCACAGCGTGATCAGCAGGACCCGGGGCAGCCTGGATAGAAGCAGCCTTGTTGGTGCAGCCCACCGCTGCTGCTTCCACACAGCTGCAGTGCCTGTTTGGCTTGGACAGGAGCACTGAGACCGGGATGGGTTCAGCCCCAATAACTACATTGCTGCTGCTGCTCCGTCAGCACAGAGCAAGTGGTGATGCTGGCCAGAGGAAGAACAAGGTACCTCCAGCTACAGCAGTGCCTTTATCCCGTGTTGCCTGTTCCTTGTTTCTCCTGGAGAAGAGGAGGCTCTGTAAGGGAAGACCTTAGAGCAGCTCCAGTGCCTAAAGGGGCTGCCGGAAACCTGG